ACTCTGGTCACACAGCTGCTGGGCTGGATGGTTGAACAGCTTGTCCCCCATCATTCTCCATACATGCAGTTGGGGAGTGGGCTTCTTGGTCCCCTCTGGCCTCTGGATCTTCATCTCCAACTTGTGTTTTAGGGGCTTCCTGGTCCAGTCTTGGCACAGGCCTTAGTAGGGAGTCCAGGACCCAATGTTTCCCACAGTGCCTTTGTCAGCAGCTTTGTTTGGCCACCCCCCATATTCTCTTTTGCATTCCCCGCCCCCACCCCCGGAGCCTCCACTATCTCTCAGGGTCTCCAAACGATCTCCTCCAGGACTTCTTGCTCAGCCCAAGCCCCTCCCCCACAGGCTGCAGTTCCTCTTGTGCCCACCTTCCTCTCCTGGCCGGATACAGGAGATCCTGGCAGAGACAGGATCTCTGTCTCTGCGCTCCCAGGATCCTCCAGCCACTTCCTCCAGAGATACGCCAGGCCTCAGAGAGAGTGGGAAGCCACTATTTCCCCTCAATCTGCACTCCCAACCTAATGCACCTCTTGCTGTCCACCTCTGACCTAGGGAGCCAGGCCTCCAGCCCAATGTATTGGTGCCAGTCTCCTCTGAATGCCAATCAGCATTTCTATGGGCGTGGTTAGAGTTTCCTTCTACCTCCCTCTGGCTCACTCTGATCTCTGATTCTTCTTATCTTTCCCAGGCCTCCCTCTCTCAGCCAACATCTCTCTCCATTTCTCTCCGGGGGAGGCTCTGCAGCTCCCCAGGCTTGTCTTCCTCCTGTGCATGGGGGACCCAGGGTCCCTTCTTGACCTTCCTCCCATTGTGGGCACTGTGAGAGCTGACAATAGTGTCCATCCAGTAGGAGGAGGGAAGCTGTCCTGTTGCCATAGTGCTTGTAGCTGCAATGGACAGCTATGGAGACTGTACTCAAGAGCCCTGACTGCTGTCTAGCCTGATCAGGTAGTGGCTGGTCTCAGGATTTACAGTCCAGGCTCTTTCTCAAAGCAATGACCAGGATTGAAGGGCTGGGGGTCAGGTCCTGGCCAATGTCTGTTTTGTTCAATGCTGAATTCCCTTGTCTAAGACAGGGTCTCTTGCTCACAGGAGAGGTCTCGACAAAAATTTGTTGAATGAATGAGAAACTCATTAGAACTTGTGATAATCACCTCTTAGCTTCTGCTGAGGTCAGGTGCAAACTTTCTATGGGCGGGTCTAACTGATGTGGTGACCACCGGCTCCAGGCAAATGCTCCTGGCTAGGGGAGTCCCACCAGGGCTCACGTGGGGAGTTCAAAGCATCAGTAATTGGAGTGAGGGTGGCCCTGGAGGAGTTGGCAAAGAGAGTTGGCTGATTTTGTCAAGTTCCACCCTTTCCCCAAGACCTCCCCCGATCTTTTGAATGACATAGGAGGAAGAGAATCAGCTTGTCACATGCTTTGATGGTCTTCCTCTTTCTTCTCCTGGGAGAGTCTGGCTGCTTGTGTGGAAGGACGTGGATGCTGAGACTTGCATCTTTGGAGAATCTGGAAACCATGCCCAGAATTCTGAGGAGGAGGAGAAGAAGGAAGAGGGAAACTATGGCAAGATGTTCACCAATTCATGGAGAAAGTTGGAATCTGTTGGGTGCCCCACCTTGGGAGAAGGATGGGGCCAGGTTTGACTCCATGGCAAGGACCCAAGCCTGGTTTGATGCTCTGTGGTCTGTGAGTTTGGGGAGCAGTACTGGGGTGTGAACTCAGTGCCTTGTGCTTGTTAGGCAGGTGCTTTCCCCTCCAGCCACACCCCAGCCCTCTCTCTTGAAATTCTTCATTTTATCTTTGAACTTATGTTTTGTACGTGGACCGAAGCGGCATGCGTACGAGCAGAGGAGGAAACTGTAAGGAAGTGAAGAGCTTCAGAGTTCAGTGCCTTTAATGGCACAGTTCCTGATTTCCCCACACACACTATGGAGCTGGTCCAGTGTCCTGGAATGAGACGAGCACTAGACTGGGAGCCAGGAGAGCTGGGTTCAGGGTTACCTTGCTCCATGCCTCAGTTTCCGTCTGGATAACCCTCAAAGGCCCGTTGGGCTCTAAGGCTTTATGAACATTACGTCATCATTAAGAATGGAAAAAAGTGGTAGAACCCCTGCCTCGCAAATGCGAAGCCCTGAGTTCAAACCCCAGAACCAGCAAAAAAAGGAAAATATATGCATCCATAAATAGCCAAAAAGGTCAGTACCAGAAAAAAAAAAAAAGTGAGAGAGAGCGAGAAAAGCCATACACAGGAAGAGGGGCGGGATCACAGCCATATGATCTCGAAGGGGCTGATAGAGACAGGGTGAGACTCAAGACAGGTGACTTTGCTGAGTTGAACGCCACCTGGGCTCTTCTCTAGTTCTCTGGAAGCTGTTTAAGTTCATAAGGAAAATAAGCCTCCAGAAGCCTGCGGAGAGAAAGCAACACGAACCTGCCGGAATAACGCTTGAATGGTGGCGGTTCAGGCAGCCAGCAGGTGTGGGGGCGGAGCCGCGGTTAGACCACACCCTCTTCCTCTCCCGTCCTCACCTCCATCCTCCCTTTCTCCCACCTGTGCTCCCTTCATGCGCTCCCTGCCACCCACCACTCCCCCTGGGACTGTGACAACTCAGGGCAGAGCCACCTCCCTTCCTGGCTCCGCAGGGAGGCTGGGCTGGGGTGAGGAAGGGCTTGGTGCGTCTCCAAGGCCCCTGCAGTCGCATTTGCGAGAGTCCCAGCTCCAGGATAGCTGAGCTTCTTACGCCCCCAGACGCAGCCATCCGCCATCCACCACCAGGAGCCAAGAGTGGAAGGAAGATCAGAGATGCTGCACGCGGAGGGAGGAGGCAGGTGGGAGGGCTGTGAAAGGGGAACAGGTGGGAGAGGTAGGTGAGTCAGCTCGCAGCAGAGCTGAGCCAGCAAGCTGAGCGGGAGTTTGCAGTGCAACATTCTTCAGCCAGAAGCCTCCCTGCAGCAGTGCCCTCCGCTGCACACGAAGCCCCCTCCTCCGGCACCCTGGCCCTCGCTGGTGCTCCCCTTTGGCATTCCACTCCTGGTTTTGGGCTCTTGTCAAACTTGCCTCTCCTGTGTCCCATGGGTCACCTGGAATGTGATGGGAGAGATGAGGTCACCTTAAAGGGGCAATTGGCACAAGGGTCTGAGCAAGTGACAGATGTTGTGGAGGGGAGGTGCTGAAATGTTTCCATGTTGCTGGTGTCTTAGGGCCTGGCCTCTTGCCAGTGGACAGCTGCACATCCTGCAAGATGTGTTCCAGGTCCAGATTGGAGCACCTGAGCTGAGTCCACCTCAGTCTCTGCTCCTTGTCTGGGGGTGAAGCAGGCAGGAAAAGACATGGGCAATGTCTTCCCAGGGCCTGCAGGGCTGGATAGAGGGACATCCCCGATGAGCTGCTCCAGTTAGGGATGTGAACCTAGCGAAGGGCACAGAGGGGTTTCTGGAGTATGGGTAGCTGAGCAACTGAGAGTGGCCTCTGCAGGCCCAGTGGAAGCTGCTGAAGGTTACAGATGCACTATGGGAAATCTGGGTAGAGGCAGGGAAAAAAAGCAGGCAGCTCCTTCCCCTCACTAAGCCCCTGTCTGGGGAGGGAGTAGTGAAGAAGAGACAGGCCCCTCGGCCTCTGAACTCCCCACCTGGGCTCAAGGCAGTCTTTAGTTCTCTAAGCCTGCATCCTCATCTATCAGATGGGGACACAGCCCTTGTCCTGCCTGTCTATGCAAAGGGGAGACATTATGGTGAGTGACTTGTTGGGGACTTGGACTCCAAGTTAACCTCTTCCTCCAAGAAAGAGGCCTCACTTTATCTCGTTAAACTGTTAAAATATGCAAGATACACAATGGTTACCCAATGACAGCCTTGGGAATGTGGTCATCTACAAAGCAGCTGGCCACACTTCACAATAGGTGAGCTTGCCTGCTGATTCTTTAGGCATACTGAGGTAGCTAGCACCTTGGCATAGAAGATTCCTGGGACCAGGGAGGATGTTCTCTGCTTTTTTATAGCCAGAGTTCTGGGTACACAGCTGGCATGTGGATGGAGTAGTGTGCAAACTCTTAACAGGGTCCTGCTTAGATTACCCAGCAGGGCCACTGTTCCTTCCTGCTGTACCTGCTCTTTGGAAGTGACTTTGCCACTCTGCCACAAGACAGTCTGATTTTCCACCCTTTGCATCTGGATTGGCCAATGGACTGCATTGGAAGTGATGTCATACAAGTTCAAGTGTGAGCCTCCAGAACCCTTTACTCTTAGGTTGCTGCCTGAGACGCCATGAAGCAATCTGATGTAGCCCTTTGGAGGAGGAGCAAAATTCCCAGCCCACTTCCAGTCTACAGCCAGCAAGTGGGTAAGGTCACCTTGGCGCTTTCCTCTAACTGACATTACAGCTGGACACAGCTGTTGGAGTAAGCCCAAGAGAATTGAGACTGAGCCCACAGCCCACGAATGGGACCTGGAAAAAGGATGAATCGTTGTTTGAGTTGGGGACAACTTGTTACACCACACAGATTAATGTAAGTACAGAGAAGGAATGGACTCACAAAAGGTCCCACGGTGAGGCACAGACCAAGTCTGGACTGTGACCAGGTTTCCATCTTGTTCCTGGAACCCTTGTCACCAGTGTCCTGCAGACAACCTTAGTGATGTGTGCATGTGTGTAGACACTGGGCCTTTCCCACTTATCCCTGAGTTAAAGTCAAAACTTTTACTTTGGGGTTGAGGCATGGCTCAAGTGGTAGGGTACCTGCACTGAGGTCAGTCCCCAGTACCTCAAAAAAAAAAAAAAAAAAGAAGAAGAAGAAAAAAAAAAGAAAAAGATTTGACTGTGAGCTAGGTTCTTTGATGCACACTCAGGGTCCTTCATTGAGTCCTCGGGAGGAGAAGGCAAGTGACAGAGTTCTCTGCGAGGGCCAGCACCTTAGAAAGGGCACACAGAGGCACACATAGACACACTCACGTGTGCTTTCTCTCTCTTCCCACCCCTCCAACTCCACCAGCCTAACCCTGCTGGTGCATATGCTTTATTAAAAATAGATACAAACTCCATTGTCAATCTGGGGGCAGGAGGGACCTCGGGAGAGAGGGAAGGACAGACTCTCACCCTGCCTCTCTGGGTCCCATCTCTGTACCCAAACCCAACACCATCCAGGGACCAAGATAGCTGACTTTGAAGGTCTCAGGGGGCCAGCCAATGAGCAGAGTGAGAGCTGGGCTGGATGGGGGGTGCACAGAGAGGGACGGCGGCGTCTCCTTATCCTGCAGGTAAAAACAGCAGCGGTGGACTTGGTGTCTCCATCTCGCTCCATTTATAGATATTTACAAAAGAAAGTCATGAGCACAGGCCACAGTCATGCAAAAGAAATTCGTCCCTCCCCCTCCCGCAGACCCACCCCTGCCCACCCAGAACCCCATGATGCCAACCCCCCCCCAGCAGTCCAGCCGCCTTCCCCCAAGGTTCTGAGAGCAGAGGGGGCATGTCCTTGAAGGGTCAGTGGGGAGAAGGTGGAAGGTCTGGGGGCCCACAGCCACCTGTGGCTAGATACTGGGCTGCTCAAGTCAACAGGGCTGAAGTGCCTGGGCCCTTCCCAGTTCTGGGTTCTGCAGTCAACAGGTAGGGGTCCTCCAGTCTTTAAAGCCCCAGCCTTCTTCCAGAAGGTCCACGGAGCCAGGGTCAGCTCTGTCCTGAGTGTGGGAGAGGTGTCCTGGCATCCCATCCCCCCAGCAGAGGCTCTTATGGGAAGTGATAAGGGCAGGGCCTAGAGGTCAAATGGCAGACTCCCTGCGGTAGGAGATATTGTCCAGTGGGAGGGTGGCTTGCATGCGTTCCAGATCCAGATGGCTGCCAAACTCCAGCATCCGGATGATGCCCGCCTCCTCCTTGGAGCCCGCCTCCAGGCCCAGGCCAGCAGCCACGGCTGCAGCGGCCGCAGCCTCCTCCTCCATCTCTTCTTCCTCCTGGCTCATGAGAGCCAGCTCGTTCTCATAGCAGAAGGCACTGGGCGGGGGAGGCGGGGCGGGTAGCACGGTGATCTTGCTCTCCTGCAGTTCCCGGGCAGAGCAGCAGGGCGTGCCTGCCACCTCATAGGTCTTGTGGAAGCGTGAGTAGTCCACCTTGTAGTGGCTTTTCTCCTCGAAGACCACAGGCTCAAAGCGGTGGCCCCACAGGATCTCGCTGGCCAGGTAGGAGCTGCGGGCCTGGGTGGTCATAGCCGTGGCCTCCACCATGCCCTCGAGGATGACCACAATTTCAAAGTCCTCGGACTCCAGCTCCTCCTTGCCCATGCCATAGAGCGGGCTGTCCTCGTCAATCTCGTGGACGATGATGATGGGTGACACGAGGAAGATGCGGTCTAAGCCGATGTCGTAGCCCACATTGAGGTCCCGTTGGTCCAGCGGCAGGTACTCGCCCTCCTGGGTCATGTAGGGCTTGATGAGCTGGGCCCGCACGTGGGCCTCCACGATGTGACTCTTACGCAGGTTGCCCACACGCCACATCAGGCAGAGCTTGCCGTCACGCACTGAGATGACCGCGTGGTGGCTGAACAGCAGCGTCTGCGCCCGTTTCTTGGGCCGCGCCATCTTGGCCATGATGGTACCAATCATGAAGGAGTCGATGACACAGCCCACGATGGACTGGACCACCACAGCGATGACTGCCAGCGGGCACTCCTCCGTCACGCACCGGAACCCGTAGCCGATGGTCGTCTGCGTCTCCACTGAGAACAGAAAGGCGCCCAGAAAGCCATTCACGTGCATGATGCAGGGTTTGGGGGCCGCAGTGGCCGCCCCGCCATTGCCCGCCTGGCCCCCTGCCCCAGGCACCGCTGGGCTGGGCTCCAGGTCACCGTGGAAGAAGGCGATGCACCAGAAGAGGAGGCCAAAAAAGAGCCAGGAGACGAGGAAGGCCGCGGAGAAAATCATGAGCATGTAGCGCCAGCGTGTGTCCACACAGGTGGTGAAGATGTCCGCCATGTAGCGCTGTGACTTGTTGCTCAGGTTGGCGAAGTAGACGTTGCACTGGCCGTTCTTCTTCACAAAGCGGTTGCGGCGTTTGCGCCGGGGCACATGGGCCTGCCCGTTGCGGCTGTGCCCGTGCATGTCCTGAGGCCGGCGTGGTCACCTGGGAAGATGCAGGGCCTGTGGATAGAATGGACAGGTGAGGTGCTGGGAGCAAGGGCCTGCTGCGGGGTGGGGGGCGTCCCAGATTCAAGGGGTCAAGGTGCTTAGCCAGAGATGCTCAGAATGGAGGTGTCTGCAGTGGCACCCAAGATTTCCTCTGTCCAGGCAGGGGGAACCTGATAGTTAAGATGGTTCTGATGACAGGCCCTGAGCCCATGTCCCTGAGGCTGGCCCATTCCCAGGACTGGATCTCCATCAACCACAAAGCTAGTCACCAGGAACCAGGTCCTAGTCCCTGCCCCTCAAGGCTGCTCTTCCAAACTATCTTTCATCTGCTGTTCTGGAAGCTTCCTCAGGCCGGTCTTGACTCTACCTTCCCCCTTTTGACTTGCTTGCCCTGAGCTCTGGCCCCACTCACTTCCCTAGGGTCAGACTCTGTACTTTTGGGTGTCCCAGGAGCTGGTTCTCCCGTGCTGTCTAATACAGTAGCCACTGGCCCCCCCTGGCTCTATTTTTTTTTTTTTTTTAGTGGGACTGAGGTTTGAACTTGCAGAGCAGGTGCTCTTCCACTTGAGCCACACCTGCAGTCCATTTGCTCTGGCTATTTTGGAGATGGTGGGGTGTCTCACAAACTATTTGCTCAGGCTAGCCTTGAATTGCAAGCTTCTGGATCTCAGCCTCCCAGGTAGCTAAGATTACAGGCGTGGCACACCAGTGCCCAGTCCTGTGGCTCTTTATAGTTACTTACATTTAAGCAAAAGTTCAGCTCCCTCATTTGCACTAGTTGTTTCAATGCTCAGTGGTCCCCGGAGCTAATGGCTACCACATGGTCAGGGACAATGTAGGCAGCCTCCATCCCAGCAGAGTCCCCTGGGCAGTGCTGGGTCCCGTAGCAACACTTTGGTCTGAACTCATCTCTTTGATCCCAAGGTTGCTTTGAGGCACCTAGCCCCAGATTCCCCAAATTTGTTGGGGGCAGGGGTAGGTGAGAATCCAGTATGGTGGTCAGGATGAAGGAAGGGGAAGCCTGGAGCTTGGTCCCTGTGTAGGTACCACTACTCACAGCAGGCTCAGAGAGGGAAAGTGACCTGCTCAAGACCACACAGATGGGAAGTAAGCTGCCCCAAAATTGGCAGTGGTGGTGGTGCTAGGGTGTCAACACTGATGAGCTCATAGTGAAGAGACCCAGAGTGGACAAGGCAGATACCCCTGCCTAACTCTGCCACCTGGAACGATTCAGTACATCTCTCGGAGCCTCAGTTTCCTCATCTGCAAAGTGGAGATCAAAAATCCCTACCTCACAAGACCTAAGAAGACAGTGCAGCACCCTCCCGCCTTGCTTCCAGCTCTGGGCGAGAGGCAGGCCTGGCCTGTCAGCATTGCCAGCTGTCTCAGTGGAGGAAGCCTGTCACCCGACCCGGTGGCGGGCACACCAGCTGGGCCCACAGAGGGCAGACCCTCTCTTCCATCTCTCCTTGCCACTGAGGCCCCAGGACACAGCAGGTGCTGCTTCGGGCTGCAGAGGCCGGCAGGGCCAAGACTGAGGGCTTGGGTTCTTGATAACATTTTGGCCCAGAATTATATAAGGCTGGAAGTTTCTATTTTCTGTTCTATTCTTCTTCCTGATCTAATTGTGCATCTGTGGCAATGTTTATACACTTCCCTGGTTCAGGACAACTCAGTTGCCGTAGCAACCGGTGCGCGCCAATGCTATAATTTAGAGATCAACAGCTTCAGAGCCTGCCTCTTCCCCAGAGAAACTCCCTCTCCTGGCCCAGGGAGCATGAGCACTACCCCCTTCACCTCCCCCCACAGTTACCCCATCCCAAATCCCTTCCTTCCCCTTCCCCATCCTGCCAACAGTCCTGGGTTGAAGTCCTGGATCTGCCGTGTGTCTTGGGCAAGTAATTGACTGCTCTGGACCTCACTTTCCTCAGCTGGAACATAGGATCCTGGTATTTAAAGATCCAGCAGGCGTTGCAAGCATGGCTGCTAATGCAATCCTGGTCCTGAGTCCTCTCTGCCACCTCCCCCAGAATCCCAGCAGCCAGAGGTCCAGGTGCTGTCCTAAGAGATTCAAATCAGGCTCAGATTCTGGACTAATACTCAAGTTTCAGGGAGGTCTTCCTTTATTAAACATAAAATTCTCCCCCTACTGTGTCCCACCATGACCTCTGTCAGCACCACAGACACACACACTGCTGGAGGAACACAAGGTCGCCAAATTAAAGTCCCTTCCTTTAGGTCTGAGGCCAGGGATGTCCAGGATGGAAAGGACACTCTGAGGGTCCCAAAGTGAGCAGGCCTGCTCACCTCTGAACCAATGCTCTGGGAAGGGAGCCTTTTGGCCCATCTACTTCCTTCCTGGAGGGGGCTGGGAGTATGGGCCAAAAGATGGACTAAACCCTGCCCCAAAAGGCCCTGGTCCTCCATCTGCACCTCTGCAGGAGCAGTAGAGAGTTGACAAGGCATGGCAGCCCAGAGCCTTTGATGGGTATCACTGAGCTTAGGAGAGGTCCTGCCCAAGGCTGAACACAAGCCCAGGAGCTGGGTCCCCTGGCTCTCTGCTGATGGGACTGGGTCTCAGCGTCCGGGGTTGCCAGGCACCAGTGGCTCACACCTGCGATCCTAGCTACTCAGGCAACAGAGATCAGGATTGCGGTTCAAAGCCAGCCAAGGCAAATAGTTCGTAATGGGCTGAAGGAGTGGTAGAGCACCTCCCTAGCAAGCATGAGGCCCTGACTTCAAACCCCAGTACCACTAAAAAAACCCAAAACCAAAACCAAAAAAATCCCAAATAGTTGATAAGACCCTATTTCGAAAAAACCCATCACAAAAAGGGCTGGTGGAGTAGTTCAAGGGGTAGACCCCGAGTTCAAATCCCAGCCACACACACATAAAAATGTATCCAGGATTGCAGTCTTGGAATAAAGAGAGACTCCACCATCCTGCTCTTCAGTTTGCCAGGGGCTAGCAGCTTGCGCTTAGAAGCCCACCCTCTAGTTCTGTTGTTTCATGTCTCACTCCATGACCTAGAATCTTGGTCTAGGCTGGCCTAAGCAAAAATGTGAGACCCTACCTAAAAAATAATTAAAGCAAAATGAGATGGAGGTGTGGCTTAAGTGGTAGAGCACCTGCCTGGCAAGTGTGAGGACCTGAGTTCAAAATCCAGTACTGCAAAAGAAACAAACAAACCAAAACCAAAACAACAACAAAACAAGGGGAGTGACTTGTCTAGGTCACTGCCACAAGGCCAAAGTGCTATGGGGCCTAGCCTCCCACCTCCCAGGGCCTCCATCCTTCAGTACACATTTGATGCATGTGAATGGGACCTCCCCCGCCTTCTAGAAAAGTCTGTTGTAGGACCGGGGCACTGGCAGCTCATATCCACAATCCTAGCTACTCAAGAGATTAGGAGGATCACCGTTCAAAGCCAGCCTGAGCAAATAGTTTGTAAGACCCTATCTTGAAAAAAAAAAAAAAAGAGCCATCACAAAAAAGGGCTGGTGAAGTGGTTCAAGGTGTAAGCCCTGAGTTCAAACCCAGTACCAAAAAAAAAAAGAAAAGAAATTTATTGTAGGAGCAATATTGGTGAGGAGCCTGCCTCACCAGGGCTTTTGTTTTTTGAGACAGGGACTCAAAATCCAGACTGGCCTACAACTCCTCATCTTCCTGCATGCTGGGATTATAGTGGAGCACCACCATGCCTGGCTTCTTCTTTTTGCAGAACAGAGTCTCATGCTTGCTAAGCACGAGCCACTCTACTGCCTGAGCCACTCTGCTAGCCCTGGTTTGTTTTGTTTTGTTTTGTTTTAAGTAAATTATCTATATTCAGAGAAGGATGGTACAGAATTAATGCCACTTGTTCCCTCCTGCCACCTGTGCCCCTTTTCTTTTGCACTTTCCCTCAAGCCTGTGTTCCTTCCAAAGGAAGCCCTGTGTGACTGGGAAGAGAGCCCCTGACTGGGTCCCAGCAGTCTTATGAAATACATGCCAAGCTGGCTCATTGTCATTATGAAGTGAGGTGTTATGCGCTCAACCCAGGAGCTAGCAGGTAAGCTTCTCCTTCCTGCTGAAAGGGGTTGTGGTGGCTGGAATGGCTGCTTCTCTGAGCAGGTCACTGCCCAGGAAGGTCCTCAGGAGCCTGGGGTTGTACACACCCCTCCTCTCTGTGGCGGAGGGGACAGAGCTGGTGAGAGGGCTTTCCTTCATGTGCCAGGATCCTTGAGAGTCCACCATGGGTCAGCACAGAAGGGGCTCAGGAAGGTTGCTGGGGCCTAGAGACGAGGCACAGGGGCAAGGGGTAAACTGTGTCCAGGGGCTGCACTGTAGGGCCTGTGGGATTGTGGGGGCTGGGCTGATAAGGGTGACTGAGGCTTTGTCACCTCCACTCACTAAGGGGGAACAGTGGGCAGTGTTGCAGAAGGGAGGTCGGTTAGCTGATGACCAAGGGGGCACCAGCTCCCTCAGCCCTCACCCTACGGCTTCTCTCATAGGGTGGAACCCCACAAGGAACCCTGTCCACAGCCAGGTGAGCATCTGGGATTTAGTGGCTAAAGTTCTTTTAGGAAATGACAGGTTGGGAACTGCTGGCTGTTCTCAGTGGCCTTTCTTGACAAAATGAAGAACCGCCAACTCCTATTCCTTTTAGTTTTACCATGCTGTGAAAATGCAAAATCTGGTCGCCCTTCCTCCAGATTTCCCTGGACAAGTAGGAAACAAATGCCCAGAGCAGAGCCACACGCAGGGCTGCCACTTGTGGTGCATGCTGTGACAAGGCACCGTGTATTACCCTGCCCTGCTGGCACCAACAGCAGCCCCAGGCCTTCTGAACGTAGCTCCCTTAGCCAGGAGGAGGGCAGGGTAGGAAGTCATACCTGGGGAGCATCAGCCTGCCCAGTCTGTTTTTTTTTTTTTTTTGATGGAACTGGGGTTTGAACTCAGGACTTTGCACTTGTAGAGCAGGTGCTCTACCACTTGAGCCACACCGCCAGTCCATTTTTGCTCTGATTATTTTA